TGTAATCAGGGGACCAGGAGGCTACGCTGTAGAGACAGTAACATGGGGAGAGACTAGAGAATGGTTGGGTTCAGGCAGAGGTCAGTAACAGGCAAGGTAGAAGAATGGTCAGGTTCAGGTGGATGGTCATGTGCAAGCAGAGGTTCGCATGGGGCAAGGCAGCAACATAGTCAAACTAAAAGCAGCATACACTTCTGACTAATTTTTTTTCTTACACAGCAGATTTTAAGAATTTTTTTTCCTAGAGTCCTGCTTTAAATTATATGCCTAAATTAAAGCCAATTGCAGGTCTTCTTTAAATCAATGTTGGTAGAATTTTTAGATCTGTGAGATTTCTGCACAGCAAGAAATCGCATTTGTTTCTCTAGTAAAAATTTGTAGAATGTAATTAAATCTCCTGCTTTGTCACTAGTGAACGGAAGAAAGAAAATGTTTGCATGCTGATCGTGTCTGTGCACAAGCTGCCAAAACCAATCACCTACATAGGCCCCTTCTATCCTAATGAGTTATGTGTCATCTAAAGTTCAAGCTTACAGCTAAACCCTAAATACATGACTTATGTCTTTGTACATTGGAGACACAGAATGTGAACAGTTAGACAGATAACATGTCTATTGAATCTGTAGCTGGTCCTCTGAGAAGAAAACATAATTTTGGGTACTGTATTGACAGATGTGCAAGGTCACAAATTAAAAAGAATCTATTTCTACTAGGGTTAAAATAAGTTAAATAAACCAAAATAGTGTTTCTGCCCTACCTGCCTCTTGAAACACAGATATACGTTTTGTCTCTGTGGTCTATATCATAGCATCTGAACCAGTGGTAAGTGAAATCTGAGGAAAAGTTTCTGGTAGCACTTTTGCTTGCTTAAGTAAATTCATTATAAAAGTTAATTGCCCTACCAAATAGTAATCAAGATCTTACCAAGTATTTTGGTTGAATTTTCCGTTTAAATCAGCAAAATATATTACAGGTGCAGCAAAACAAAAGATGTTTAAAGTCTTACGGTTTGTTTTCTTTAAAAAAAATTCAGGTATGAAGCATTTAGATCTCATGCCTACTTCATTACACTATTGTGTAGACAGCTTAATGGATCTTGTGTGTCTAATTTCCTGAAGGAGTTTCATATCTGTGAATATATGGAGAACTCTTTGGCTCATATGTTGGTCTGCAGAACAACAATGCAAAAATGCTTTCTGCGCATGGCTTTTGAGGGAGAATGTCTATTCTGTTCTTTAGACAACTTATTCAAGGATGTCACTAATGGAAAATACTCCAGCAGAAGAAGCCAAGACCTAATCCTGGGAAGGGAGCTTTCATTTCCCCCAGGCCTCCCAATTCAAAGCCAAACCTAAGCCAGGGAACCAATTTAACTGTAAATGTTGGGCTCCCTAATCTTCTGAGCCTGCAGACAAGTCCTCTTCAATATAAAGTGACAACCCCATTTTCCAAAGTTGGGGGATGTCTGTTTGCTTTTCCAGACACCTGGTTATCAAGCATCTCCAATGCTTGAGTAAAAGAAGTTGTGTCCAGGGGCTCCAAGATAGAGTTTTGTTCCATGCCCCCACCTCACTTTATTTTGTCCAGTCTGCCAGTGTTTCCTCACAGGCTAGCATACCTCTCTGTCGTTCTAGTAGACCCTAGATCAAGGAGTCATTGCCATTGTTCCAGATCCAGAAAGGTTTCGAGGTTTAAGTATTTACTTAAACGTGATAATTTTATCCAAACTGCATTCGCCCCATTTTGGATCTAAAATCCTTAAATGTTAATGTGCTTGCAAAAATTTCAAATGGAATTCACGAGGAAGACTTTCTAGTCTCTGTGAACATCAAGGAAGGTTACTTGCATTCCCCCATCATTCCAGTAGACCTATGCTACCTGCGCTTTGCTGTGGGCACACAACAGTACCAGTGTGTAGTCACCCTGAGTGTTCACCAATACTAGCTCTAGTGCTATAGTGCTAACCTTTGCTACACTCACAGGACATTCCCATTACGAGATACCTGAACAATCTCCTGTTGAGCAGATAAATGTGTATTGTAGGAGCGCTGGACCCCTTGAGTGAATGTGGTTGCGGTACAATTTCAGAATCTTGAAAGCCAGCTCTCTGTTGACAAAGGTATCCTAAGGAGTGCCCAGAAATGTTTGAAATTAGAAAAATGAGAGCGCCACACTGATTAACTCAATCCAGTATGGTTTCTTTACTAGATGCAATGTAGAGGTAAAAAGCTAATGGGATTTCGGGACCTCACAGATCCCCGTTCCTCTGGTGTGCTGGAAATTATGCACATAGACACATTTAAAACGGAAGAAAATATATGTTTAATTTTTTTTTTTTTTAGGTATGTTGTGTGAACAGGAACACATAACAGGAGTTTTCTCAAAATGTTTGCAAATGTGGAAATACTTTAAGACCTTTGTGCAGGGTGTCTTTCATGGAGCCACACCTGTACAACTACCACTGACTCTCTGGGATCTCAGTTTGCTTCCTTCAGCCCTCTAAAATCTGCCTTTTGAACCCATCAGGGATATTCCCTTTTCCATTATTATGCCCAAGGCTGCCTTCCTTGCTGCCATCACATGTTCAAGGTGTTTGCCCGAGGTAGCTTCCTTGCCTTGTGATGAACCTGTTCTGATCTTACAGTACAAAGTGGTGTTGAGGCCCAGAACCTCTTTTCTTCTTAAGATGGATTCTGCCTTTCCCCTCAACCAGGAAACTGTGCTTTGGTTCCTCTGTTTGGCCCCAGTTTATGTTAAGGAGATCTCTCTTTATTGCTTAGATGTAGTTTGTGCTGTTCATGTCTATCTCGCAGTCACTACTTTTGGTAGAAAGTCTGAAACACCTTTTGGGATTGATTTACACTTCGCAAGTGAATTTGCACTTTGCAGGGAACATTTAAGCTTATTTTTAGTGAATGAGGTACAGCTCTGTTGACTTCCATCACCAAATCATTTGCGAGCAAAAATATAGTTGTTTTTTTAACCTCCCTGGCGGTATGATTATGTCAGGAATTTTGTACCAAAAGCGGTACATTGTTTTGCTTATTATAATTTTTTATAATTATTTATTATATTATAATTCCTTATAATTGTGAAAAAGTGTCAGGCAGGGCAGTGGACAAAGCTCTAGGGACAAAATTGAAGTGAAATAGTTTGATACATACGTGTAATCATAGCAGATTACATTGTATTGTGTGTATTCTGTGTATATTGCAACTTTTCACTTTTTAATATCCCGCCAGCTGCGACGCTCCAAAACGAAACTAAAAGTCAGATGCCGGCTTTTAGTTTCATTTTTGGGCCACGTACAGCAGAGGACGCCGCGGGATCGCAGGGACAAGGTGAGCATCACTTTTCTCTGCAACCCCGAGTCTGGCTCGGGGTTACGGCTCCTAGCATGGAAAATTCACCCCGAGCCAGACTCGGGATTACCGCCAGGGAGGTTAAACAGCTAAGGGAAACTTTTCTTGCAAAGCAAAGTTAACATCATATATGGCTTTAGTAAATCAACCTTTTTGAACCTCTTCAACCTCTTTCAACCTCCCAAAGGTCCCCATAAAGGGGAACCAGCGTCTTGTTGCTCAATTTCTCTGTGGCTCAAACAAATCATCATTCAAGCCTATAGGCTCAAAGACAAGGATCCACCTTTTCCTGTTAAGGTGCACTTCTCTAGGTATGTAGGTGTTTCTTGGACCCTATGGCATCATACAACTATTTCATAGATTTGCAAGGCTACCACCTGGTCTTCTGTTCATACTTTCTCTAGGTTATACCAGATGGATGTTCAGGCGTCAGCTGATGCAAGCTTTGGATGTAATGTTCTTCAGACTTCCCACAGTTTTTTCTTGTTTTGTTATGTGGGTTAGTGTTTTTGTTGCTGTTGCCCACCCCTCAGTTGAATTGTTTTTGTACATCCCAGTTGTTTCTGAATTACTTATGATCCGGGGTCCCTTTATGAATGATAGAGAAAAAAGTATTTTTGTATTTTCAGTAAAATATGTTTCTTGAAGTTCATTAAGGGACACAGGTTTCAACCTTCTGTGTTCATGATCTACTCCTAATACTTCTTCTTTCCAAAACTGAAACATGATGGGGGTGGGAGGGGTTATACCTGACTAGCTAACTTTTATTTATTTGCGAGTGTCCAGTTCCTCCTTCAGGCAGCAGTGTAACCCAGTTGTCTTTGAATTACTTTTGATCCTGTGTCCTTTATTGAACTTTAGGAAATGGATTTTAGGGTAAGTACTAAAATCCTGTTATTTTGCGTTAAGGTCCACTTAACATAATTTATTTACAAATGATTATATTACATTGAGGAGACATACAGTGAATACCAACCTCACCATGAACTCATGTTTGTTGTACTTTTATTCATATCTCTATAATTGTATAACTTTCATTGGCAGCATATAGAATACCAGCTGTAATGTTTGATGCAAATTGACCTAGAAATAGACTGAATTGCATATGTAGGGTAATTTATTTTTCATAGTTGAACTGAGCTTTGCTCTCTACCCTTACAACTGTATTACTGTATCACCCTTGCAAGTTACAGATTTCCACAAAAATGTTTCTGTTCTTTGATGAACTCTAATAAAGCTATTTCACTTTTGGTATAACTAAATCATACTTGGGGTCACATAGTGTAAAGTCATAAACACTGAAACCAGCTATATATTTAATACAACTCTAATGGGCCCGTCTCAAAAAATCAAGTCCTATTTGCACTTATCATTTCAATAACTTATCTTGTCTTATACAATTCAAACAACCAAAATGTTTAGTAATTTACAAACTAATTGCATACGTTTTTCATCAACCACAATGTGAATTTAGAGCTATTGCCGTTAAATGATCCCAGATAAGATCCACAGTATTACATTTATCTTATGTTAACTGTATATGATCCTTATTAGTATGCTGACATTTTAAGTATTTATTATTGAAGAATAAGCCACCATTATATTCACATGGTTGGTCCTTGTTCTTTTTGTTAACAGCATGCAAGACGATACTATAGAAGGCTCTACATCAATTTCTCAGCTTCTGAGAGAGAGCTACCTTGCTGAAACTATAAGGCATCATGAGAACAATCTCTGCTCTGATAAAGTTGATGATATAGCGGGAACAGATGACTTTTCTGATCTTTCTGCCTTCCTGAGCCAGGAGGAATTAGACCAAAGTGTTCATTTGGCAAGACAATCAATTGACCAGGATGGGAAACAAAAAGAAGTTCCAGCTGTCGTTAAGTGTCCCCCAAGAGAATTAAAAAAACAAACCAAATCTTCTGTAAAACAACCAGTAAGCCAGCATCTAACCACTGACCAAGAAGAACAGAACTTTAGGCAAGAACATGTTATAAAGGGTACGAGGAACTCTGAGGAAGACAGTAAAGATACAAAAAGGCCACAGAGGATCAATCCTTATGGGACTGAGACAGAATCTAAGAAAGAGTTTCTAAATAAGGCAGCAGACTTCATAGAAGAGCTTTCTTCACTATTTAAAGCCAACAGTTCCAAGCGGATAAGGCCTAAGACATTAAGAAATCGAAGTAGAAAACGTGACTTAAAAAGTGGAACTCTTGAAGAAGACGTCTCTAATTACACCAGCCAGTCAGAAAACCGAGAGAGGCCTGTCTGTCCGCCAGTAGAGACAGAAATAGATCTAACTGTCTCTGAAGAACCTGAGTGTTTGGAAGTCGTAGTACCAGAAACTGATAAGGAGGATTTGCAAGTAGAAACCAACACCGCTTCCTCTTTTTATTTGGAAGAGACTATTGGGCAGCCTCCAAATTTTATTCAGAAAATAAAAAGTAGGGAAGTTACAGAAGGAAGCAGAGTACAACTGGACTGCATTGTGGTTGGAATTCCAGCTCCAGAAGTAAGGTATAAAAATATTTTTATATAACATGTAAATGAGCATGAGCATAGTATATAATACTGTATAATAGTATATATAATCTGAATCATTATCTTAACCAGTTACAGTCCCTTACCCCATTATATGCATATGCACAGTAGGTTAACTACACACCAACTGAGTTCCAATAGTCAACATTGCACAGTATTTTACATTTATTTTGGGTTACTACTTTAGAACTACATTTACATACAACGTGATGAATGTTCTTTTAAACTATAGTTATTAAGTATTTTGTAAGGGTATTTGAGATTATCAGCATCTGGTGTAAATTTGTATTGCAAAAGTAATTAATATGCGTGTGCCATAAATGTTGAGGTATTCTCTGGTGTTGTGAACCATTTTAATGAAACCACGTGGCACTCAATCAGTGTAAAGGCTACAGACACTACAGAGGAAAACCTTTGGATTCTGGTGTTTCAGGACTGGTGGGTTGGAAGCTTTCATACAGCCATCCAAGATTCCCATCTTTTATATTGCAGAGGTGTTGCTTATGAGGACCTCAAATATTGCACACTTATGTATGCATGTGTATGTTAGTTGAAGAAGCATGTTCTGAGGGTTAGATTAATAAATTGCATGTGGACATTTTAATTGTTTGGCATGTGTTTGTCAGTAATTTCTTACTGCCTGTAGTAATTTTGTTGGTTATTGACTATTGAGAGCTGAACTGCATGCTGGCTATGTCATTGTGGAGTTGTATAATTGTCAAAAGTACCTAAGTACCTACATAATGGTCATTTAGAAAAGTGTAGATTTAGCTGGTGGCCCCTTTAAGCTGCACAACCCAGGCATTGCAGGCACACTACAGGTTAATTTCCCTCTCTCCCTGCTAATTATAGACAGGCCTGCTGGAGGGGTCAGAGAGGCTGGTAGACTGTGATTAGCCACATTAGTAGCCAAACTTGATCCAGCCCATGAAACACAGGAAGTGGACGCAAATTGAGTCCAGGAAGGAGTGTGTTGAGATGAAAGCAAGACTGCGATGCTGTGGGAGACACAAAGGAAGGTGCAGGGATACCAGAAAGGAAGCAGCAGGTTAAAGAGGGGAGTCCCAATGTGTTGTGGTACCTTTTACGTGATCTCCAGAAGACTTGCCAATGGTGCAGAGATGTCTAGCGATTAGAGTGACCTATTCTGCAGCCATCTTTACCCAGCTTGGAAGATCTTGCAGCCTGTGTTGCATCCATTGCCATCAGATCTGCCGAGGCAGTTGATAGTCTACCAACTGCTGTCGGGAGAATCTCCAATAAGCATCTGAGTGTTGAGAGACCTTTGGCTACCCTTGCAAATAATTAACCTGTTTGTTACTGTGGGAACTTGCTTCTCCCAGCAGAACTCTATTTAAAGTGGTCCTCAGCCTTCCATCGTCAGTCACCTTGGGATACTTTCTGAGAGCTTCTCCTCCCTTGAAGTACAAATATCTTAAATTTAAGGTTGAATGCTCTTACTCCAGGGCCCCACTGCCAGCAGATTTTACTTTTTTTACCCCACTGGCCAATGGTTAGATAAAGCCTATGCATTATAAATATTTTAAATAGGCCACATTGTTATCTGCATCATTTTGATAATTCCATGACAGTCACACCTTTGTGATTCCTGTTGTTTTTGTGGGTAGAGTTGTTTCTGGCAGGGCACTTCACAGGCGATTAAAGGGAACAAACAATATATTTTTCACTGTGCCTTCTAATATTTAGATTTTTGACCATTGTCAATTCTGTTTGAAAATACTCCCCCTTCAGGGCTTATTCCTGCCCTAATAAAGACCATTCATCTGATATTGGTGTGTCAATGTACTTTGGGTCTGGTCACAAGTAAGTTAACAAAATTACAATTTAACCCCGACACAAGTTTGTGGCAAGTTATCCTTGCTATCTGGGAGGCAGATCATAACTGGAGTCAGCATGGGAACCCAATATTTCCAGCAGCTTCTGTGGGAGTGGTGCTAAAAAAGCAAAGCAGATTTTACTTTAAAGAAAAGCTAGAATGATCAGCAGTGTACCTAGCATATCTGGCACCCAGAACTAATTATTTTTTAAACCCCCCATCAAAAAAATCAAAGTGATTTTTTAATCTGCCCCACTTTCAGGAACTCAGAGATACTATCTCCTGCATGAGTGCCAACATTTAGAAATAGTTGTGAGGGATGCCATGAAGGGATCAAGAAAACAAATGCAGCCGAGACCAATAAAGTGTGTTTATACTTTATGGGTTATTGCCTGTAGCATGGTAAAATAAGCCCCATCGTTGGTGTCAGTGGCAGTAATAGTAATCCCCAGCATTGGTGTCATTGGCAGCAATAACAACCCCCAGCAATGGTGTAAGTGGCCACAATAATCCCCCTTTATTAGTGGTTAGTGTAAGTAATGGTATCCTTCCCAGCATTGGTTGGCAGTGGCAGGCTGTAATAATAACCCTTCCCCTGCATTTTTGGTGAGTGGCAGGCTATGATGATAACCCCCACAGCATTGGTGGTCAGTGGCATGCAGTAATATTAAACCTCCCTACATTGATGGTCAGTGGCAGTCTGTTATCATAACCCCCCAACATTGGTGTTCAGGTTTTACCTGGACACACCATCCTGTGCTGCTGCCTCTCTACCCTTCGGCCTGAAGTATACTTTTATTGTCAGACAGAGATCACTCCACCTGACTGTCCTGGCTTCTTTCAGTGCCGGGTGGTGGAACACAGAGAATGTTCCAGTACCCGCCACATGACAACCACTCTGCATGTTGCTGGTGGCCGCACCAGGGCACTATCCAAATGGTGGTACCCTGTGTAGACTGCCTTCCCTCCCCAAGGAACATCACTGAGAATGATTAAAGGACAATATTCCATGTTTACAGGTTTAAAAATGTATCTTTTATGTCACATTTTATCATTACTGATGTTAGATGTTCATGTCTGGAAGCATTCTGGTTTGTCTAAATACACAGCCTGGCAGCAGCTGCTCAGAGTGGATTGCATCTCTCTTATAGTCCATATAGATCTCTATGACCTAGAGATGGGGTGGTGAGACATGAACCTCCTCTGAGTCATAAAGCTGTGTGCATGTTCTAAATACAACAACAGATCAAGTTATAAACTCTTTTCAGCATTAAAGAAAAAAATGATAGTACACAGACTTCAGGAGATCAGTGTGCAATGAATGTCCCATTAGACCAGTACAAATTTAAAGAATTAGAACCATTTGAACGTTGTGGTATACAAACCTTTTCTGTTAGAGTGGTTTGTACTGATTACTTACTCTTGATTGAGGTTTTCTCAAGTACTGCAAGTACACAGTTGACTTGAAATGACGTTAAACTGTATTCTGAAATTGAGGCAACAAAATTCTACATTATAAAATTGCATAGTATTCTTAGTCATCATGATCATAGTATGCATAGTCATCATATCTAATCAAAATAATTTTCAACAAGGAACTTAAAATCTGAAAAATAGGTAGACATTTGCTCTTTCCTGCTACCCGTTGGCCTCAAATCATTAGCAGATTCTGCAGATTGTGATTCAGAGGAGCCAAATATCTATTCCTATGCAGAAATAATGTTTTCTGACTGCTCAACATAATTCTATGCTGACAGATGAGCAAAGATAACAAACCACTCTTGATATTAAATAACCATCAAATGGGTAAGCAATGACTGACCGATAAGATCAAAACAGGTTTCTTTTTTTCACCACCTGTCAGCCAGTGAAACCTCAGTGTCAAACTTTTACATGTAGTGTACACTGCACATAGGGTTTATTATGAAACTTTATTCCAGCTAAACATGTTTTCTTTTATTAGATTGGGAAAGATAAACACCACGATCATGTTTTAGTGCATATCATTTCAGGCCAGCACTGACTCATGGTGCTTTGACACCCATTCTGGTCAGTTGCTATTAACTTGTAAAATTTAAAAACAAAAAGACCAAACAAAGTGGACTATTCATTATACTGCACAGATCTTCATTTTCTAACATAACAAGCATGCTCCAGAAAGCAACAAATGTTGTACTGTTAGTATTAGAGTTCATGCAGGGTCTTCCATACGTTACTCCTGCTGGAAAGACGCTATAACCATCTGAGTAGGATGGGCAGTGTTAACCAGCTGGTAAGCCATGTGGCTCATTTCCATATGTTTTGTAGGAAATTACAATATCATGGGGGCCTTTGGAAAACATAGTAGTTGAAAAATGTACATAGAAAGTAGGGATGTTCAGATACCAAGTACCATACTCGGTACAAGTACATGTACAGATACTTTTCCAGCTCCAAGACTACACTAGAGAAAAATTACAAAGTTAAGAGGCCGCTGTCATTTATAAGGAGCATACAGAGCTGGGATTTGTACATCCCTGTTTTAATGTATGATTTTTGTACCAAGAGATGTACCAATACCATTTTTTCAAGTACAAGTACTGATACTTGTCCAAGTACTTACAGAGACAAGTACTGATACATTTTTGTTTAGTGTCATGTGACAGTGTTTTAAAAACAATACAGACTAATGATTTCAGGACAGTGGTGGAGCGCCAGAGCCAGGTCCCAGCTGCAACCGATGCAACCCCAGTAGTTCTCGTGAAAATACCAAGTATCGGCACTGGTATCTAAACTGGTATCTGAACATCCCTAATAGAAAGCAATGTCCAGTCAGCCAAACTTAAGAGCCTAAAGGGATGTTTCGTGATCCTGTGAACATGGCCTTCTGTTAACTCACACAATTACAAAAATGGATCCAACATAAAGCCATCATTAAAGGAGAACTATGGGGTCAGTGTTTTTCCCCATTGTTCTCCTTAGGGTAACGGGAGGACACAAACTAGCGCCCTCCCGTTACCCTAAGCTCAGTATACCGCGAGCTGAGACGCTGCAGCCGGAGCGGATCCCAACTTAGATGACGGGATCCGCCCAGCTGCGTGAGTGACAGCTGGCTCTGCCTATCTAGAGGCAGAGCCAGCTGTACCCACCCCCTCCCCCG